GGGGGGGGGGGGGGGGATCAGAGGAGTCCAGATGGCAGCTGCAATCATGTGATTGGAGCCCTGCCCACTTTTAGACATGCGTAAAAAGGCACTTTGTTTGCCTGGTAGTGGCCACCATCTAAATTCTTCTGACCCCTCCCTGAAGACACCCCGATTCAAATTTAATGTTGAAAAAAAGGATTACAGATTGTGACACAGATAGTCCTCTTTTAGCGACCACCATTGGGGTCGGCAACTTAAGTGAAGTGGTTGCTAAGTGAAACCCCAACTGTGCTTATGCCCTTCCTTCAACTTTCCTTTGCTTTATAGACCTGCGACGGTCGTAAAGGTGAGGATTGGTCGCAAAGTTCCTTTTTCATCACCATGGTAACTGCGAACAGTTGCTAAACGAGGCAGTCACTAAACGAGGACTACCTGTACTAGAATCCGGGGGGCAAATACAGAAGTCTGTGCCTGAAATGACTTCCTAGCATTAATTCCCATCAGATCTCTTCCAGAGTCAATTGCTTAGGTATGACCTTTTTCCTCGATCCAAAGCTTCTCAAAGGCCTGATTTTCCAACCATGCCACTACATACACAATCCTTCCATTCCTGAATTGCTATTTCAACATAAAATGGCTTGTCTGTTGCTAACATTTTTCCTACCCTGGGGTCATTCTAAGCATGGATCATTTCCAACCCCTCCGCTCCATCTCTGTTCAGGTTTGAGCCTAGCTGACCCACTCTTCTTCTAGAGCCATAGAAGAAAATCACTCTTTTAGTGTGGAATGGCACGTAAAAAAAAAAGAGCCACAGTCAGAAGGGGGGGGGGGGATGAGCTTTACATATGTGCTACAACCCCAAATCCACAGGAGATTTAAACACAGTTACAATTTTTATTGACCCATAATGCCTGCATTACAGAATGCACTAAAATAATCAGATGGCATTTTAAATATATCTCCATTTCTAAATTAACAGGAAGGGTGGGGAACAAGGAGAGGCCATAATGTTGCCAACAGCATGACTAGGCAATAAAATTGCCCCGAATCCCTCAGGTCATTCACTTTCCAAGCACAAAACCATCTGAAAAAGGCCAGGGAAGAAAGGCATTTAAAGCAGCCATTTGTGCTTTTTTAAAAAAAAAAAAACATAAAGCCAAAGGCCAAATTAGCTCTGTTGTACTTAAGGCACATGTCACGTCATTTTGATACTAGGTGATACCTTCAAACCACCATCAGCACTTTGCCTAGAAACCCAAAGTTAAATCTTACTGTCCCAGGAACGTCTATGTTAAAAAGTCAGTGCCATGTAGAAAAATGGGCTGTTCAGGATGCTGTAGGCAACCTCACATCCTCCAGACTCCTGACAGTTTTGGAAACAACTGAACAGCCACCCATTGGAGTGTGACATGAGAACAGGTTTTCACAACCACGTGAAAACCCAACTCTAGCACCGAATGAATGTGAGTTTGTCTTGGGCCAGTCACTGCACCCACCCCTCTCCCATCTAAAAGGCTGAAAGATGAATAAATGACACATCTATCTATTGCAGTGTTTCTCAAAGCCATCTTTGAGCCATTTTCTTCCCTAAGAGGCAAAAAGATGCAACACCTGCACCTTCTCAGAAAGTGGTCCAACAGGTATGAGCTGGCAAACTCTTGTGAGAATTGCTAGTCCTCCCAAGAAATCAGTATTCTCACATGAGATCTTGCAAGGAAGCCAACATTGCCTACAATTTCAAGATTCTTATGTTAAAGCTCATGGATGAAACTGAACTGTTGCAGTCTCTCGGACTTGATCATCTCACAAGACTGGAGGGTTACTTTATTTCACAAGATGGGGAGGGGGGGCAACCCCAGCATCACTCGAAATCAGGTGATAGCCCCCAGTCTGAGAAGACTACTGATTCCTATTGAAGACTATTAATACATAGGCTCATACAGTAAACAGATCTCCCTCCCATCAACTCACTCTCTCCAAGAAAGATGCTTCCAAGGTGATTTTTTTAAAAAACAGAAAATAAACCCTGCAACTCATTTGATGAAAAAGCAAAGGCTCAACCCTTCTTGGCTGTTTCAAATATTCCATGCAAAAGAACAGATCTAACTCTGCAAGTTGAAAGCAAGGGCAGGCGAGAGAGAGAACCATCTCGAGTGTTTTAGTAATTAAATAAATGTGCATAATGAACCATATGCCCAAGAGGGGCCTCTTTTTCATGCAGGCCAGATTTTTGCTTGAATTTTTAATTTTTATATACAGATGAAACACTGGGAATGATGGAACAGCCCGGTGAGGTACAGGAGGAAGAAGAAGTTGTCAGGTTGAACAGAATGTCTGTGTGTCTGTGTGTCCAGCTTTCACTACTTAGAGACAACAACAACAACAAAATTTCTTGCAACCTTCCCTCCTTTGAGCAACTGTTTTAGGCAACTGTTCAACGTTTCCATGAAAGAGATACTGACAGCTTTTTAGACCCAACAAAAAATGAAAACACCGCTTGCTAGAAACGAAACCAAAAATAAGGGCCAGTTCCATGGGACAAAACAACAAGGGTTCTTCTGCTCTTCATGGGGCCTTGTGAGTTGGTCTAACTGTTCCAGTTTGCTGGGAAACCTGCATTTAAAGTGAAAGCCAAAACACTGGGCAAAGATAA